GGGGAGGAACCCACAAAAGCCTCTTATACGGCTAGCAAGCCAATCGCTAGCCACCACGTGGGAATAATTTAGACCTGACCAATAGTGGGGCACGAATTTAAATACAAATGGCAGGAACTCCTTGCAACGTGCATTTCTGTGCTGCAACGAAGAAATGCACCCTGCAAAGAAAGCTACAAACGGCGGGAAAATAATTCAGCGGTGCCAAAGCACACACAAACAAAAATCACACCCTTGGGTTGTGACACTGAGGAGCTCCTGTAAGTGCATTTAAGATACAGGTTCAGCATTCACGAATGTTTGAAACCAGCTTCTGGCTTCAGCATGGCTGTTAAGTGCTGACAGCCATGTCTGGAGGCTGGAGCTCCCTCCAGTGGCCACAGGGGCACATGGCAGGGCTGGACTGGACTGACCTGGGACTAAAGTTAGTCCCAAGTCCCACCATGTGTAGACACCTTCCGAAAAATGCTTAATGAGCATTAGCTTAATGCACATTAAATTTCAGCCCACTTAAATTCACATGTAGACGCATCCACTGTCTACACAAGCATCCCTATTACAGCAAAGTAAATTAATTAACGCTGCCATAGGACAGTACAGCCCAGGACAAGTACTATCCTTCAGCATAGTTATTTAGTGTTCCTAAATACATGCATAGATGGTGACTGGGGATGGCTGTGGCATAAGGGTGCTACAGTGCTGGGGCTGCTTGCTCGCTAGCCCCGCACTGTAGCAGCCTCATGCCCCAGCCAATCCCCTCACATCATGTTGAGCCCAGTCCCTGGGCTGGCAGGCTGAACTCCCAGGCCCCCTGCTGCATTCCCGGGCACACATGTAAACACTGTGCCTAGGAGCAATAAACCCCAGCACAAACTGCACCAGAGTTTATTGCTACATGCTAATTGCATATTTAGATGCACCCACTGTTTACTAACTATAGAGCAAATATCATATGTTTGAATTTTCAGTACTTCAATAGCTTCTTGGATGATTTATATGAATAGCTACCATGCAATTGCTTTTCTTAAATTTTAACTTAGTATCATGTTGAACGGTAATATGAGGTGCTAGCTAATCACATTGGCTTGAGTCAAACATCAGTCATTGCACAGAAATCTGTTTATTCACACCTTACTTCTGATCCATCTACAATAGTAAAATATATCCAGTCTACTGCAGATTTCCAGTTGTGTCAAGAAGTTTAACCTATTGATGCTAGAAATTTTGGAAATGTAGGATTAACTCACAATTTGAGACAGAATTGGAATCCTTATCCTCAGAGTAGTAGTGGGTGAATTCAATGTTATTCTTTTACGTTACAGAAGTTGTGGGGGGAAAAATAGAAATAAAAAAAAAGTTATAAAAGCTTTGATTTCTGACATTTAGTTAGATACAGAAAATTGTTCTGATACATCTAGAAACATCACAGTCACTTCTTCCATAACCTATGGCTTCTCAGTAATACATTACAAACTGGGAATAGAACCAGATCTTCGTATTCTAAAGAGCACAGGCGGCGCTCTCTGGATGGAATGGAGAACGTGTTGGCTCTGTTTGCAGTTTGAGCTTATTGGGCATTGTGAGCAGTTCTGAAAATCTTGAATCAGGTAATGACATTTGACAGGTCACAGGTTTTATTAGGTTGAATAGAGCAACAAGCATTGAATTTTGCTAAACAACCTCCTTTAGATTTGGAGAGTGAGAGAAATTGGGTTTAGTTGCTGGCCCCAACCCAAGAAAAGTGAAACATTTTAAAGGCAAAAACAGTGATGCCAAATAAGAAAATGACTAGGATCTGTTGAAGGAAGGAGTTGGGGAAAGTATGGACAGTAGAAGCTTTGTTATCTGGCATGAGTGGGGTAATGAGGGTGCTGGTTATCTAAAAATTCTGGTTATCTGTGTGTTATCCCTGCCCCAGCCAGATCCCTTTCCCCTCCTCCTACCCCTTCCCCCGCAGACTATCGGCAGCATCACTAACTCATGTAAACAACAGAAATACTTGATGCATATTCTGGATAGACTCAGCAAAGATTCTGGTTGCTAAAATGAGGATTTGTATTAGGCAATATTGGAAATTCTGGTTAATGGAGTATTCTGGTTAGTAAAATGCTAGTTAACACAGCTTTTGCTGTAATTATTTTGTGAGGAAAGCAATACATTTCATTAGGATTTGCCTGGATTTCATGTTAACTTAAAGCTGTAAGGAAAGGACAGACTACCAGTGTGAACCTGAATTGAACTAACCTCCTTCACTGAGTTTTGCAATAGCTATATAGAAAAGACTGGTATGTTTTACATAAAGCTAGAGACCATTCACCCTACAGTTACCTAAACACAAACACCCAGCAGAAGGAAACACTTTCCCATACTGCCTGCACTCTTGCCAAGCAGAAATATACTCCTAGAATGTGCATAAAAATTATGGAGCATGACTGACAGAATACACAAGAAAGATGCTTTCTTTTCCCCTAGGTGTTCTAAATAATAAAGGTATTATTTTGAAGTTGGAAATTCTGCTTTGATCTACCTTTTTAACTATAGAGAATATAAAATAGACACCATATTATCAGATAGGAAAAAAAAATAATCAGGGAAAACTGGGGTGGGGGGAAGATTTTGGTTATAACTAGGCTAGGGAAGAACACACAGAACCACGAAGATACATATGCGAGAGCATCTTCCTTCCACCTTCTGTATTTTATAGCTGTTACTTATTGTGTCATGTTTGCCATGAACTTGTTCAAAGGAAATAATGCTATTCTGGTTTATCATTACCTTGAGCCCTTTATAGTAGTAAAGGGGATACTAAATGCTACTATTCTGGGTGGGTAAAATTTTACATCCATTTTTCACCATTATAAATGACTTGCTGCTGAAAAAAAGACTGTGACTCAGCCTTAGTGTGCACTGTATTTGTCTGGCAGACCCCCTAGCAGTGTCTGCTACAAGTAAATAATAATATGAGACAGCTTTAATATCTTTTGGAACATGCATAACTGCAAATGAGAAAATAAAGCCAGTAAACCAGGTTTTTTAATTTTGTTTTGGATGAACCCTTAATTTTGAACACTCAGAGAATAAATATTATCACAAATATTTGAATACCAGGAGTTTTCAAATTAAATACCAGGGTACAAATTAAATATGAACTTAAGTCAAATAGGATCCAGTACTTTTCCCACTGATGTCAGCAGCAAATTTTAGTAACTTCAGTAGAAGCAGAATTAGGCCTATAGAGACACTACTCAATCTTGATAAGCAATAATACACACTGTAACTTGTGTCTTCACCATGAATAGCATTAGCTAAGTAGATGAAGATATGATAAGAAAAGTGAAGTTGTTAAAAAATGAAAGACAGATAAATCATTTATAATTGCCAGCTAGAATTTTGTATCATCGCTGTGGCCTTTATTAGTCAATTAACATTTCTAACAATAAGACTGACGTTTAAGATAAAAATCACATTTGGCTTTACCAGATCTAACACTTGTGTCACACGACATAACTCTAAACTACTACTATTCATCTTTCAGTTATTTAAATACTCTTAATTCTTTGCCTTCCTTCCACTGACCTGACAGTGCAAGTTACTTGCCTATCACCTAACTGTTAAATGTATTCCCCCTACTAGAAATTATTTATTACAGTGGCACATGGTATATCATCTATTATCTCCAAGTGAAAGAATATGATCTACCCAACATGTTCTCCCTTCCCTTTAATCTTTCTGTTGAAAGCTCCTACATCTCCCTGCAGATTACTATGAGGAATGATTGAAACATTTCTTTTAGGTTGATGATTTCTTTTCTCCATACATTGAATGCATGGGAGCATTTTACTTGTCTCCATAGCTGCACAATGCTGAAAGTTAATCGCATAAACTATTTCTTCAGACATAATGATAAGAGCTAAGTTACCAAAGTGCCAACAATGCTTGCACATGCAACCAGGCCAAGTTCATTAAGTAATTTTCACCAGGGATATTTGATATATATATTAGATATTGGACTACTTCTAAAATAGCCATATTAAGCTGAATAGTCCCAGTGGGATGTCATGTCTAACATCAGCTATTCATACAGATCAGAGTCCTGCTGA